GACTAAGCGGTCGCAGACCGTCGATTGGTGGACCCCGATGCAGGTCCTGCCATGTGCAGGTATCATCATGTACCCTCCATGCTTGACCGGGACCTCCTCTGTACCTTGCGCAGGTGCCGAGCCTGCCCCCCATCGACGACTACCGCCCGCTCCCCGACGGTGTATGGTTCCGGGCCAACTACAGCATTGCCGTGGACCGGCCCCCCTTTGGGCTGGGGGACACCTCCTGGGACGACCACGACTGCGAGCGGCTGTACGTGCCATCCATCATGAACGCCACCCGGTTGGACGTGCCTCAGTTCGTGCTGGACCTGCCCGGCGCCAACGCCTCGCTGCCAGAGTATGCCACCGCCGGCTGAGGGGACCAATGTATTGTGACCGGGTGTGTCATGCCAACAGGCATGGCGATTCTACACCTCACCCTAAGACCCCACTCTCTCCGAACGAGCGGGCTTTGTTCATCAGAGCAGCACAATCCCCTTGACCACAGCATTCCCCTCCCGAGCCTGCGTCTCCAAGAATGCCATTGCGCGACCGTAAGCCATGCTCCCATTCGACGCTGGCACCGAGCATAATCACCCCTTTGTGGCAAAGCGCTGCCGAATCGTATGTGATCAGGGCAATTTTGGATGCAAAGGGGCAAGCTGCAGCGCAAAAGGCAAACAAGGTATCATGCAGGGCGAGGCTGGCGCGAGTTGCACCAGGTCATGCCACAGGCTGCCATGCAGTGGGGGGCGGAAGCTATGGGGGACAGTGTCGTTCGTCATGTATGTGGATGGCCAGCATCTCTGGCGCACATGTTTGCCTCAGAAGTGGGGGGTTTTGCCGGCGTACATGGCGAGGTGCAGGATGCCTGCTGCCCCAATGCCAATGCCGAAGAGGATCAGCACCAGGCCGCCGCCCTGGCGGCGGATCTTGGAGCCCCGGGTCTCGGTCAGGGTCTCCTCCATGCCGACGGAGAGCAGGCCGGGCAGGATCAGGGAGATGAGCACGCCTGTGGAGCACAGGTTACACGGCAGGTGGTGAGAATTGGCGCCAGTACTGGCTCTCTGGCTGTGCTGGAAGCAGAGACTGTGACTCATGCGAATGATGGATGGCAGCTGGGTGAAGGCTTGGAGCCCATACGATCTGGTGCAACCTGAGAGAAGTATGCGGGTCATACAGCAAACACCACTTGATGACAGGAGTGCCTGACAGTAAGCTTGTTTTGGCAACATCCTCGCAAATAACGAGTGTGCCCTGACACAACCTCTCCTACTCCCAGACCCTCAACACCAGTTCCCCCTTACCTGCAGTCGATCCGATGAGGATCAAGACACTCCAGATGTCGCTGAGGTGGGCCGCCGCGAGCCATGCCGCGCCGAGGGTCACATAGGTTACCAGGTACAGGCCAGGTCCTTGCAGGGGCTGGCGGAAGACGAGCTGCCACAGGGAGGTCCGCAGGGGCGCCATCTGCAGTGTGAGGTTTGGTTAGGTTGATGAGTACGACGGCGGAGTACTCCATTTCCATGGACTGTGGTGAATGCAGGTTGACAGGAGATTTTAGGAATGTGTCCTTCACCACCCTCATCCCTTCTCTGCCACTCGCATGCAGGGGAAAGGACAACAGGAGCGCAATGAGCACTCCGAGACGGATGCCAAAGAAGCCTGGAGTTGGGGGGGTGATGGAAGTGAGAGGAAAGATCGAGGGACTGACATTGTAATTCCATATTACAGAGGTCTCACGAGGTTGTGTGGATGTATAGTCTCATGAACCTGAGTACTCCTCGACGCCACACCAGCGGTCAGACGATTCTCATCCAACAGCCTCGGACCCCCAAAATGCTGGCAGCATGGACCTCTCTGTCTACCTGCTTGAGCCAGCTCAGGGATGAGCAGCTTGGACAGCGTCTCCACCGAGTAGTTGTTGATGACATCAGCGGATGTGGCGTTGCCAAAGACGCCGTAGGAGCAGATGGAGATGAGGAGGAAGGTGGCCGTGCTGGCCGCGATGGCGCCGGCCGACACGCCCTGTGCCTGGCGCTCCCTCACGGAGCTTGCGCTCTGCATCTGTGACAAGGGGAAGGGTGGAGTGTTAACGGTTGAACTGGTGTGCACAGAGCGACGAGGGGATACCAACAGTACCAGCCGTGGGCGTTGACCACCTCAAGTAGTCGCTGCTCAGCAGGCATTGAGAGGGTGTTGTTGCATCCCGCCACCTCGGCCCCCAAACACGCACGGAGTGCTGCAGGGTCCAGTGGCAAGTGTAGGCGACCAGCATGATGGAGAGCAGGGAGGTCAGCTCCACCGCAGACTTGAAGCCGTGCCCAATCAGCGCATGCCCCTTGGGCCACCTGCGGGGTGGGGGAAGAGTGGATGAGAATGGAGGGACCAGGCCATGCATGGTCCATGCTGACGAGGAGAAGGCGGGAGAGAGGTACGCATCAGTCCAGGGTCACAGGGTGTGCGAATCTTCCTCACCGTCCCTTCTCAACATGCCCAGGCACCTGCGGGCGCCCCTCCCCCCTCCCCTCTGTGGATGCCTCCACGCCCCTCACCAGTGCATGTGGCTCAGGGCACCGTTGTTTGCTGCGATGATGAAGAGAATCAGGGACACGGCGGCCCACAGCAGGATGGCTGCCACGCCCAGGGCCGACGCCCCGGCCAGCGAGCGGCTCTGCCTGCGCACAGGTGGGTTCGTGGTGTTGGGAGGACGTTGCTGGGGAATGTTGGTGTCCTACTCCTTCCCAAAAGGAGGAGGACGTCTTGAAGCCCTTTCAGGTTCCTCCTCCTCGCACGCCATCCTCAGGTCCGATCCACCATGTCCCATTGGGTGCCAGGCACAGCACACCCCCACCAGAACCCCGGCGCGCGCACGTGCTGGTAGAGGAGACCAGGGGGGCGAGGAGGACCACGGCCACCACCGCCAGGACCACCCTCCTGGATCCACAGTCCTGGGTGAGGATGCCCGGCTCGCCGGGGGAGCCCACCAGCATGTCACCGATGACCACCAGGTACACCACCAGCATCCCTGCAAACCTCGCACATGGGTGTTGTTGGGGGTTGAGTATCGCAGGCATGCATGGGAGGCGGCTGAAAAGGGGAGTCTCAAGCGGCGTCAGACCTCTTTTCTCGAGTGCATCCATGGGCAACAACAATCCAGGCAGGAGGAGGACGCATGCAGAGCAGACTGCTCACCCTTGGCCCCCCTCCTTGCTCGGCCCCACGCACCAAAGCAGTTGAAGATGAGTGCCATGTCCAGCACCGCCTGGCCGGTCACCCCCAGCTCCTCCCTGGCCAGAACCGACATGTTCATGACCCCCGTGCGGGCCGACGCCTTCGCCAGGGCGTGCAGGGAGGCGTAGGCCAGCAGGGCGACTGCCGCCAGGCAGATGGAGCCCGCCCCGATCCCCAGCATGGAGAACACGCGGGGCAAGGCCAGCAGCGCCACCCCCAGGATAGATTTCACCATGTGCGTCCCCGCCTCCCATGAGCTGGGAGGCTGCATGGACTGGGAGCGGTAGGAGCTGATGCGGGGGGTGAGCAGGGGCTCGCGCACCTCCGAGGGGAATGGGGGAGGGGTCACCGCCGGGGCGGGGATCACGACACGACCCCCGGGGCTGGCCGCAGCCTCAAAGGGTGACGAAGACATTGTGGAGAAACCTGGATTGACTTGGTATTCAGAGACTGTGTTCCGACACGCATCGGAGGGCGGCCTCATGAGGTCCACCGACACCGGCATCGTACCCGGGTGTCCGGTGGCTTCCGCATGCTTAACGCCCGCGTGCTTTCTTACTCTCCACGCGTCTGAGAGACAATAACCGGGCACCTGTTGCGGTGCTCTCAATGCTCAACCTGTCAGTGGAACTACACACACTTCCGAGCAAATGCTGGTAAGGACTCACGGGACAGCCGAGCTCAAGGTTGGTCCACTTCAATGCCACTGATGTGCTCTACTCACACCCTCCTTGCGTGCCATTCAGTCTCAGTTTACCCACCAATCAAACAGCACAAAGGGCAGATCTTATCAAGACCTTCCAATATCCGGTAGCTCACAGCATGCTCGTCTTTGGCATGCGTGAAGGCACTCATGATGGGGTCCATCACATTACATGCCCTGACCCTGGAGGAGTTTATTGGCATGCCTGTGCATAGACAATTCTTTTTCAATGAGAGATTTTGGGAGGCAGGAGGATAAATTCGTGGCAACTGACATTCTTGTGGGAGTTATTATGTATTTGGTACAAGGGAGAACTAGTGGGAGTTCTTGGTGACTTACGCAATGCCAGGTCTGGCTGGCTCTCCACCCGAGAGCGCGAGCCATAAACTGAGCTGTGCCTCAGCCCACAGAGCGTCAATGCCTCATACCGTTTGTGAGACCCAATCTACTCTTCCCGTGCGTCGTACTTCTATTATTTCCTGTCTTCACACACTTTACTGCTTTCCTCATCAGCCCCAGCCTCAAAAACCCTGCCGACATGGCAGCGCGCGTGTTCGGACCCTTGATCACGCAGCCTGCGGCTGGTCGCCACTCGGCGACCCTGATCATGCTGCATGGACTGGGAGATACAGGTGAGGGGATCGCGAGGGTGGTGTAATGGGGAGGGGGCGGCCCAAGTGGGTTCGGGGAAGGCGACAGAGCTCTGTGGACCCAGCGCCCTTGGAGGACTGACATGCACCACTGGGTGCGAGTGCTCTGCTTTGCACCACCACACCTGCAGTGTTCCAGTAAAGACCTCACACTCTGTGAATGCATGTTGACCAGGCAATGGCTGGGCACCGGTTGGGCCCCAGCTCAACCTGCCACACATCAAGATGGTGTTCCCTACAGCGCCCACCCGGCCCATCAGCATCAACATGGGCATGTCCATGCCAGGCAAGTTACTGGCGTTGAGGGGCTGCACGCTGGAAGAGTTGCATGTCCAGGCATGACAGGCTTTGCTAGGCCGGGCCTTGGCACGAGGGGATGTGGTCTGCATGGTATGAAATTGCGCGAAGCACACCCAGACGCTCAGTCCCTCTAAAGATGAAAACCCTCCTCACCTGCGTCAGCCCCCTTCGGCCCTCCAAATTCCCACCCTACCCCTTCTTAACATACTCTGGCAGGCTGGTTTGACCTCAAGAGCCTGGACTCTGACGACCTGCAGGCGGCGATGGGAGGCAAGGCACTAGACCCGGAGGGCATCGCAGAGTCCATCAAGTATGTGGATGACCTGATTGCGGCCGAGGTGGCAGCAGGCACCCCCACCGACCGCATTGTTCTCGGCGGCTTTAGCCAGGGCGGGCACATCGCCCTCAAGGCCTTCCTGCGGCACGAGCCAGCGCTGGCCGGCTGCGCGGCGCTTTCCACCTGGCTGGAGCCCTCCAAGATGCCGGTGGGGAGAGAGGTGGGGGGGGAGAGGATATGGCACAGCCAAGGGTTTCCTGTGTGTATGAATGGGGTCCCATACGCCTACTAGAGGCTTGCTGGGCCTAGAGCGATCAGCCCATGGAACATTGCGCTTCGTGGTTATTCTGAGATCAAAATGACATTGCGACCTGCAGTGGACATTCCTTGACTATGGCCGGCTGATGTATGGTGCTGATTGACAACACGATTTAGTGCTGCAGAGGCTGAGATGCTGCACCATCCGCCTCCTCCCTTGCCTCAATTCCATCGCAACTCTCCATGCCAAGTCCCTCCACAGTACTCCAAGGAGGCCTTGAGGCGTCCCATTTTCCTGGCCCATGGTTCTGCTGATCCGCTGCTGCCCCCAATTCTGGCCCAGACATCGTACAAGACCCTCAACGACGCAGGTGAAGGAATAGTCTTATCAGTTGGGATATCATTGGCGTGGGAGAGGGGAAGGGTGCTCGCTGGTATGTTTGAAAGGAGAAGCCAGACCGTATGATGGTATGGTCTCCTGTGTGCGCCAGAAGGGATCATTATGTACTGGAAAGGTGCTTGCAGATAGCCCTGTACGCTCCTGTGCAGCCCTTTCTGCCTGCAATGAGCTCATGCAATACTGGGACCCCTCTTGAATCATCAGGTGCTTCCTCTGTGGACTTCCGGATCTACCCCGGCATGCAGCACAGCAGCTGCCCCGAGGAGATGTCGGACTTTGCCGCCTTCCTGAAACGCGTGGTCCCGGATGCGCCTCCCTCGCTGTGAGTGGGATGGACTGTTGTTAGCTTGGAGGTTTGGGTGCACAGCGCTTTGGGCGAGGAATGGCATGGGCACACATCAGTCGCTGGTGATCAACACTTCAATGCGACTGGGATGCACTGCCTCTCCTTGGTCCCTGCTGCGCCCCAGTGATGAGGGGCAGCCTCGTCTCACCCCTGTGTAGGTCTGATCTGCAGGGCTTCTCTGTGAAGCAGCTCAAGCAGCTGCTGAGCTCCCAGGGCATCTCGACTAAGGGCATGTTTGAGAAGCAGGAATTGCTGGAGGCGGCGTCCAGGCTCGCAAAGTGAAGGACGGGTTTTTATGTTCTGGCCGGTTGCAGCTTGATCCTCATCCTTGACGCTCAATAATGTCGTCCCCCCCCCGGGTCATTTCTTAGTAATTAATGCTCTTGCACCGCTTTTGGAAGAGGTCAATACCCAATCTCCAAGGCAGGCATCCAGTGCAAACACTCTGTAGATTGTGTCCTTACATTATCCAGTCGATTGCACTGGCTTAGTGCACAATGCATCAAACAGAGTGCAACTGAGTATTGCATGGAAGAATGGACCTTTAGCAGCCAGACCCCTATTCTTTCCCCTGTCTCTAAGGCGGTCAGCAACTGCCAATCGGACTCGATGGCCAGCAGGAAACTCACAACGCGCTCTAGCAGAGTGCCAGGGATGCTCTGACGCACACAGAAGGAGAATCAGGCAGACTCACAGCTTAAAGCAGGGTCTGGAGGCCAGATCTAGACTGGTCAGCCCTCAGGAGGCAAACATATGCAAAAGACGGCAACCAGCATCGCTGCGCACTCAGAGCTCCGACAGCGTGCGAAGTCGTGGCTCCACAGAGCCGTGCGCCGCCGTCTGCTGGGCGCGGGCAAAGGCGCTGATTGCGTCTGCATCCGTCATTGCGCCCAGGAAGGAGGGTGCCTGGTGCGCACGGCGCCGGCCACGCCCGCCGGGACTGCGGGAAGGGTGGTGATGTATTCATTTGGGCGCATGGCATGGTGACAGGGAAGGGTCAGCTCGATACACTGAACTGAGAAGCCAAACTTCTCGTCACCTCAAACATACCTGGTGGGGTGGTGAGCACCCTGAGTCAAAGCGGCGGAAGCGGCTGGTGCGGCGCCAAAGGGGCTGGGGACCCCCCGCGCAAAGGGGCTGCCGCCCTCGCTGCCAAAGGGGCTGGTGCGCTGCCCCGCCGCCAGGCTGCCAGACAGCGTGTTGCTCAGACCGGGGCTCATCAGGGAGGAGGTGAAGCTGCCGGCCTGCTCAGGGGCCAGTGGGCCCCTGCCCTCGCCGCCGTGCAGCAGGCCCTCGCCGGCCTCGTCCACCTGCGGCGGCGAGGGATTGAGGAGTGGGAGTGTTTATCAATGGGGGGTATTCACAGGCGACTTCCTTCTTCGAAGTAGGTGCTGGAGGGAACAAGAAGGGCAGGAACATTTCCCCGCCCTCTTGCCTTGCACACCACCATTCAAGGGTCGCAGCCTAGTCCCATGTGCATGTACGACCCACACCGAGCAACGTTGACATCATAACAGTGCGTCCACTGTTTCTCCAAGCTCCTGTCCCCCACACCACGGCCCCTGCCCTACCCGCACGATCTTGACCACCAGGGCCCCCCGCTCTGTGGTGATGACGACCACATAGTCCAGGGGCTTGCAGAGACCGTTTTCAGCGGCCAGGCCGATGGCCTCAGACAGCAGATCGTCCGAGCCGGAGCTCATGGGCGCCGCAAGCATGGGGAACACACCTGTTGAATTTGGAAGGGGGGGGGAGAGACTGGGGCTTTGCGTGCAGTGCACTGGTGGGGAGTCTTGGCGTGAAGATATGCTCTGCACGGAACCCTCACTGCAACAGACCCCCAGTGCTGCTGCCATGGCAGGTGGGGTATGCTCCACCCACCTTGTTTATTTCCGCCTTTCCAGCATTCCAATCCCCCCGGCCATTCCTCATTGCAAATCCTCCAAGAATCCCTCCCCCCCCAAACACCACTCCTTCCCTATGCCTTCCCCCAAACCCAAATCCCCAACTGCCCCACCTCGCATGGTGAGGCACTGCCGCGCCAGGTACTTGCCCTCCAGCCTCCAGCGCAGCCTGTCCGACTTCAGGGTGGGCACCACCACCGCCATCACCGGCATGGGCGGCCGGAACTTGGCCACCAAGCTGATGGTCCGCCCCGAGGCCGTCAGCACCACGATCAGCCCCGCCGCGATCTTCTCCGCGGTGCGCGTGGCGTTGCTGGCCACGCTCTCCAGCTTTTGCAGGTAGGCCGCGTCGCGGCCGGGGCGCGGACCCCGCTGCACGATGCGTGACGGCACGCTGCCAAAGGCGGACACTGTGTGCGCCGTGGGCGAGCCGCCCAGCCCCGACGCCGGGTGCGGCGGCGAGCCGCCGTCCGCCCACATCGGGCCGGCGCCGGTCGGAGCCTGGGAGACCCCTGTGGCCAGCGTCAGGCTCGACGGCTGCGCAGTTAGCCGCGCACGGCCCGGGCGGGACCCGGCGCGGGCGGTGGGCTGCCCGGCGGAGCCGACGCTGACCACTGGCTCGGACATGCCCAGCAGGGAGGCGGAGGAGGGCAGGCCGGCGTACGACCCCGGGATGTCAGCCTCCGAGGCCGACGGGTGGCTCAGCGACAGCCCCTCCTGGGGGTTAATCATGGAGAAGAACCGGTGGGGTGGATTTGGGACACTCAATCAAGCGATGGAGGGTTTGAGAATGCACAAGGGTGTTTGGCAACATTCCCCGGATTGGGAAGGGCAGGGGAGGATGGCGGGGCCTACCCCCCAACCCAGCTATGCCCTCAGCTGCTCTTCTATAAACTCACCCCCTTCCCCCCCCAAAAAACTTCAAAACCCGCCTCCCCCTCACATCAAAGCTCTCGTTGACCATGAGCTCGTGGTGGGAGCGGTAGTCAAAGTGGAGCTCGGCCGCGCGGCACAGTCGTACCACTGTCTGCACCGTCAGCACAGGGGTACTGGCCCCGCAGTGTCTCGGCGCCCAGGAGCACGCCATCCACACCGTCCAGCACCGCGTTGGCAACATCCGTGGCCTCCGCGCGGGTGGGGCGCGGCGTGTTGACCATGGTGTCCACGAAGCGGGTCACAATGACGGGCTTGCCCAGCAGGTTGCAGCGCCCCACCAGCCGCTTCTGGAGCAGGGACATCAGCTGCGGGGCGGGGAGGGGGACGAAGGGAGACATGGAGGGTCCGTGCCATGCGCGCGCGGGGTGGATGGATGTGTGGCACAAGCCTGCTCAAGCGGGAGTCGTTCCTCGCAAAAGCTCTGGGAAGAATTCAGAAGCAATGAAGTGCCTGATGGGTCAAAACCAAACCTCTGCATGAGCCACCCATCCCTCCAACCAGATCATACATGCCGGGCGATACCTCTGCGTCATAGTCGAGACCCAGGTTGCCGCGGGAGATCAGCACGCCGTCTGCGGCCAGGCAGATGGCATCAAAGTTTCGCACCGCGGGCTTGCGCTCCACCTGGGCCCGGGTAGGGTTTGGAGAAAGGGTGAGCGTGAGCTTGACTGGTGTGGAAATAAGGGGTTGGTACTGGGGGCTGGACGACAGATCCAGCACCAGGCTCTTAGTTCAGCCCCAACACGACCCTCATCCAATTTGATGTCATTCTAAATGCCTCTCCACAGGGCATCCTCCCAAGAAGTGTGCTGTCCGTCCAAGTCGGCATGGATGTGCTGCCAGTGAAACCACAACCCGAAGCATTTACCCCTGATCCTTGTTCCCCCTTGATTCCCACCTTAGCAATGATCTTGGTCTGGAACATGCCCAGCGCATCCAGAAAAGCGCGGCACTCTGTCAGATCCTCCACAGATGAGCAGTAGGACAGCGAGATGTAGTCAATCTCATACTCCTGAGTTGGAAGGGGTTTATAAGCATGGAGCAAATCCAAGAAACACTCACGTGCCGAACACCGAGCAGGTGGGGCAAATACACTTTGATACCTGTGGATCCCACTCAGTCTCTGTTTGCAGGGCATGTGTGAGATCCTTCACATGAATATTCACAACTGCCTTGTCAGGCCAGGCTGAAGGATGAGCCCTCCCAATCCCAGATGGCCTACAGGGTTCCACACCTCATCCGCTCTCTGGCCCTGCAGTCCCTCACGGTCCCCACCCACCTTGCCAAACTTCTTGATGCAGTTTGCGTCATGCTGGGTCATGATGGGGATGGCCATGTCAAAGGCGGCGTCGTTGGCCTCGTTGGGGTGGGCGGCCATCACCGTCAGCAGGCCGTCCAGGCTGGCGTCGGTCTGGGCGATGGTCACGATGTCCAGGTCCTGCTTCTCTGTCACCTGGGCAAGGGACAGGGGAGGTGGATTTTGGATTGATTTGGATGTGGGGGACGGCGTGAAGTGGGAGATGCACGGACGTTTACTACCGCCAATCCAGCCGGCCAAACAGCCCGGTCGTCTGAATGCTGAGGCTCCAACAACCATGTGCGCCGACCTTTCCTTACCTCGAGGAGCAGGGTGCCGCCCTCAGCGCCTGTGCTCAGGTAACGCCCCACCTATGGTGGTGTTGGGAAGGGGACGCTGCCTGCATCGCCCCCATGATGGGTGCATGGTGCACACTCTTGCAGCCAACCGAATGGTCCACTCCCACCACCCCCCATGCACCCATGCTCCGACTCCTTCCAACCCACCACCACAGTCTGCCCAATGTCCAGGGCGTCTGCAAAGCCAGGGTACGTTATGGGCAGCATGGTCTCGCTCGCCGGTACGTCCTTGGGTGTCAGCGTGACGCTCTATGGGGAGGCAGGACGCGGCGGGCGTAGAGGGTCGTGAACGGGAAGAAGAGGGACGAGGTCTTCGGGAGTGAAGCATTGCGCACGGCCCCTGATCAGGCAAACAAGATGAAGGGGGGTGGTCCCTAGCGGCCTTCTATATCACAATGGAGCACCTCTCCATGCCTCCATATTCGAAAGGCACCGGCGTTCAGAAGCTGAGCAGCGCCCCCACCAACCCGTCCTGCATCCCCACTGCCCACCTGGCCCTTCTTGATCTCGATGGGGGTGCCGTGGTGCAGCCACCCGTCCTCAGTGGTCTCGGCGGGGCGCCGCACGGTGATCTCCCTTCCCGTGGTGTCGAGCCACACGCAGCACAGGCGGCCGGTGACATGCATGGCCTTTGCTAGATTCTCCAGGGACACCTGGTGGAAGGTGGCGGGTCCCCACTGCGAAAGGGAAAGGGGAGGGGGGCATCAGCGTGAAGGCAATGCAGCAATCAGAGGTGATGGGCTGTACAGCCTGGGGAGGACGATGCAGCTCCTCCCACGGCGCCAACACGGGACGGAGGAGTAGGGCAGCAGGAAAAGCCAAGCCACCAACACATGGACGCACGGTGAGGTCGACACGCGCGCAGGTCATGCCGGCTGCCAGCAGCTCGACGAGGACGTCCACCGACTGGCAGGATGGACCGAGCGTCACCACCACTGCAGGGGTGGCATGTGCAAGGGGAATTGGAGATGGGCAAGTGTGTGGCGTAGACTTGACTGCCAAAAGCACTGCAAGAATCAATAGCACCCAGACTGCCTCAAGCCCCGGCCTGCGCCAGGGTCGACCACATCCCACCTACCTTTGGTGCCCACCCCCGCGTGCAGGTCGGACTCCGGCACGGGGACAAGGACCTCCTTCATGTCCACATCCACGAAAAAGTGCTGCAAGGGGGCAGGTGTGGCGCGCCTTGACCAGCCTCCCTCCCATGAGACAGGCACCCTGGCTGTGCATCACTGTGGAGTCGTTGCAAACCCAGGCAACACATGCACAGCATGGCACGATGCCAAGCAAGCGATGCATTCATCTCACAACCCACATGCTTGGCCTTGAGCGATCTGCACGGTGTCGGGATGAAAGTGGGTGAGGAGGGCGGCTCATGAGCTGCGGGGATGGGAATCTTGAGCCGGCAACCCATCACCACTTCCACACCCTGCAACCAGGTCGCCCGTGGCCAATGATGCACGGATCAAATCACCTGGACGGCATGATGACGGTGTGGGGCGGAATGGGGCACCTGCCGAAACCACCTATGCGCTCGCCAACCCCGCTGTGCACGAGTACCAAGCTGTCGGGACCGGGTGCATGCAGCAGGACGCACGTTCAGACAGCCCGCACAGCACGGAGAAGGCACACTGCTTATGGGTTTGAATGTGCGGACGGAGGAGATGCCAGCAGCGAAGATGGGGAAGGCCGTGCATTGCACGTGGCTTTCCGCCACTTGGTTTGACTCCCCCCTTCCCCCTCCTTGTCGTCCACCAAGGGCATGAGCCCGCACGCTTGCACCACACCCTTCAGCGCTTCCCCTGGGCACACCAAGGCTGCGGCATTATTACCCGATTCTAGGCAAGCAATCTAGAGGTAGAGGCAAAGGGTGAAAAGGAAGGAAAATAACAGGGAAGCTAGAAGCACATGGTGGTGTCCGTCGCCTCATCTTCGAGATCTCCTCTGGCATCAGCCGGGGCGGGCAGAGGCACCGGGGCACGACCCACTTCGGACAGCGAAGCGGGACGGGCGTCAAGCAAACGCAAGAAGGGCAACTCCGGGGGAAGGGATGCCGGGCCGGGAAGCCATGCAGCAGGTCCGCGATGGAGGCCGGGGCGAGGGTCGCCCGCCCCGCACCTCGAGCACAAGGAGCGCCCGGATCGCGGCGGCGGGACACAGCTGCCCCGGCGGCCGCGATGGGGCTGCTGACCCCTGACCTCCAGCAGGGAGCCACAGGAGCGGGGCGGTGGTACAGCAAGGGGAGTACGGGTCGGAGGCCCAGGGAGGGGGTCCCGACCGGACCAGGGGCACACTTCTGCGATCCTGGGGCGGGGTGGCAGGCATGGTTTTCCATGGTGTGGGGGGGGCGCCGCAGGGATAGAGAGAGGGTCGGGCGCCATCGAGTATGGGACGTGACGCAGGGCCGGGCAAGTAATTCGCAGTTGGAAGGGAGAGGGCGTGAAAAGGGGGTGGGGCTGAAGGCAGGCCAGTCGCACGGGTTGGCGCTGCCGAGCGGTACGGAGCAGGGCAGGAAGGGGCTTGTGTTGGCGGGCAGGTGGCAGGCTCGAGCCCCGCCTGTATCTGGGCGGGGTGGCCGACGGCGCCCGGGGCGCGGTGCAAGGGGATACGGTGGTGTGGGGAAGGGGGAGCGGGGGGCGCCGGGGGGGGCACTCGCTCGCTCGCTGATGGGGGGGGCATGGGGACGCCGCCAGGCGTGTGGAGCTCTTCACTCGGCGCGCGGCGTGGCGTCCAGCAGCTCCTTGACCTCCAGGATGAGTTCCAGGGGCACCTCAGAGCCCTTGGCCAGCCGGGCCTTGAGTTGCGCCTTGGGCAGCCGCGCCACCCTCGTCTGTCGCGAAGGGGGGGGGGGTTCGGGAAGGGGGGGGTCGCAAAGAGTTTCGGGGGGGGGGGGCCTTGCGCGCGCGCGCGCAGACAGGCAGCGGACCAACGGGCCCAGTGCGGAGAGGCCAGGGAGCTTTCTGCAGGCGTGGGCAGGCCCCACTCCTCTTGCAGGTGGGTGCACCATCGGTCACCTCCCTGGCGTGCCTTAGGCAGGACACTTCACACCCGCACCCGCATACCCACCCACGCCCGCCCGCCTAGCCCATCCCGCCAGCGCCGACGCATGCCGACGCACCAGGTTGCGCCACTTGTCCTTCAGGTCGACCGCGGAGCGCGTGCTGAGCAGGGACACGACGGCGGAGGAGGCGGTGCGCTTGATCTCGGCCCACTTCCCGGCCCCCACGCCGCGCACTCCCTCCACCAGCGCCCTCGTCTCCTCCGCGGACCAGGGGTTGTGCTTCTCTTGGCGCCGCCGGCGCCGCCGCGCGCCGACCCGCCCGAGCCGTCGAGCCCGGCGGAGCACGCGTCTTCGCCCTCGCCGCCGCTCAGGCCGCCGCCGGCGCCGTCCTCCTCCCAGGCCTCCGCCGCCGCCGTGGCCGCGGCCAGGGCCATCGACCGGCGCGCCGCTTGGCGCACGGGCCGCCCGTCGCCGGCGACGGCCAGGTGCGAGGAGGAGGCGTGGCGGTAGTCGCCGCCCAGGGGCGCCAGGCCCGCCGGGCCCGACGCGTAGCTCGCGTAGGAGGCGCCGCCGTGCGCGCTGCCGTCGCCCTCGCCCTCGCCGTGGTGGCCGCCGCCCAGGCGCCGCGCGCTGGCGGAGCGCTTGAGCTGCACCGTGGCGCGCAGGGCCAGGCCGCGCGGCGCGCCCGCGGGCGACGCGGGCACCGACCGACCGCCGTGGTGCTGGGTGAAGGGGTGTCCGCGCGGCGCCGGGGGGGCGGGGGGCGCCGCGTGCGGGCCCCAGCGGCGGGGGCCCTGCGCGTCGCCAGGGCCCGGGGCGGCGGACCAGGCGCCCAGGCCTGCGCCGCCGCCGTCGTCCAGGTGCAGCGCCTCCTCCTCGCTGTCCTCGAAGGACAGGATGTCCAGCGAGGCGGCGGTCTCCATGGCGCCCACCACCGACCCCTGGTCGCAGCCGCTGTAGGAGCTGCCGCGGCTGCGCCCGCCGTGCATGGTGGAGCCCTCGGAGCCGGGGACGGCGGCGGGCGGCGGCGCGGCCGCCGCGGCGTCAAACATCTCCAGCGCGGACATGGGGGTGGGGAGTGGGGTGGCGTGCTCCGCCGCCGCCAGCTGCTGGCGGTACTGCCAGGCGGGCGACTCCTCCGCGGCCGGGGGCCCGCCCCAGACGTGGGGCGGGGGGGGGATGGGGGGGTACTGCGGCGCGTACTGCGGCGCGTGCTGGCCCATGTACTGCAGGCTGCAGCAGGGGCAGGACGCGGGGCCGGGGGCGGGCGCACCGTAGTACTGGCACTGATACGCGGTCTGGGCGGGGGTGGCGGCCGGGCGCAGGCCGGGCGGCAGGCTGTACTGGGGGGCGGGCTCGTATGTCACGGGCCACTGGCCGGGGGAGGGGGCCTGGGGCACCCAGGTGGAGGAGGACAGGGCGCGACCCAGGCCTGGGTCCTCCCGGTCCCCGTAGGAGCTGCCCAGCATCGTGGCCGCACTTTCCGCGGAGTCGTTCTGCAGCGTGACCGCGAGCGCCCGGCGACCCCCCGCAATCGCCAGGGGGGCAGAGGCGTGGAGCGGGACGTTGGCAGGGGTGGAGGCCCGGTACGGCTTGGGCCCCTCGGGGGGTCCCAGGCATGACCAAAAGTCCAGGACATCCTCGTCCGTGTCCAGCAGGCTCGCCAGCCGCGAAGTGTCCGGTTCAAAACAAAGCACATCCATGGCTGCTGGGACGGGGGGGGGGGGGCGGGATCAGAGGGCCGGGAGGCCGGGCAAAGGTGTACAGGACAACCCCGCACAGCCGCGGAGCGGCCTCGGGGCGGGGGGGAGGCATGCCGATGCGCCAGCCCCATACAACCTGGCTCTGGAGGCTACCTGAGGATTCTCAAGGTGCCTGGAACAATATCAGGCCGACTGTGCCCAGCGGCGCGAGGGCCCAAGGATGGGGCTCACCGGCAAGTGCGCCGGGAGGGAGGATAGCACCCCGCAGAAGCCGAATGAGGTGTGGCGTGTGCACCCTTCGTCGCTCGGGGTTCGGCAGCGTGTGAAACCACTTCAAGGTCTACTCTTACTCCCTATCGCCCATCCCACGGCTCCTCATGCCCCCAGGTTGACGCATCGGTGCTCCCCCGAGGAGGCCAGAGGTGGGATGGGACCCCCTAACTTAGCATGACCGGGGACGAACGGAGGAAGATCGGGGAATCGATCTGATATCTCCAGCGCGTCCGGGATGCACACCCGGCAACCCTCACCCCCACAGGAATTGAGTCGTTCTATGTGCGGTTGCCAACGTGCGTCCCTTCGATCGCTGGTCCCGGGCGGGGAGCGCCTACGCCTGGGGGACCGGCGGGGACTGTGTGCCTGTATGAATCACGTGACAGCCTGCCCTACACATTACCAATATCAAGGTTCCCGGTTTTCCTCGCCCACACGGTACCATGCGAGCCCCGAGCCCGACTGACCAGTTGTGAATCGCCCAGGACACACGCGTGCAGTCACGCCATACACATCCCTTGACCCCATGCCCTTGCCCCTGTGCCATGGAACAAGTGACAGGCGTGCATGCACGGCACATGGGTGAAGCGGGGGCAAGAAATAGCGCTGCAGGGGTGGCGTGGTGTGGTGCGGATCTCGTGCGGCTCCAGCCTCGAGGGCGGATGCGACGATCCCACTCAGAAGCACTTGCGGTGCACGATGGAGGGCCCGCTCTCATCGTACTCTGCGAGGGGGGCAAGGCATCGGGGGGACAGGGGTGACCAGATGACCAAGGGGGCTGAGCGACTGGGTACACGCATGCCGCGCCACGCACCGCCACGCTCGCGCACGCCAGAGGCAGAGCGCGCGAGCTCCAGAGCTCGCGAGCCCGTCACACATGCACCCTGCGCTGTGCCCCCATCAGCCCCATACCGACATCAACAGCCACACGCCTTCCAGCCCTCTCCTGCACCTGAGTACCCCCTCCCCCCCCCCCCCCCACGTTCTTCTGACCTCACTCTC